AATAGCCGAAATAATCCGAAGTCGTCCCGTCTATATTCGGCATGTTCGGATGGTACCGTTAATGTTTGGCTATTCTCGGCCGGGTAGGTAGGCTAGCTGTTGGACGTAACTCCCGTATCCTAATGGCAGCTGTTTATCCTACAATATTTGACTTTGCACAAACATCGAAGGTTGCCTTGGCCGAAATCAATGCCCGGCGAAATGCCCGCAACATACATGTACATGTACAAGGTGCACCACTGCCATGAAGTAAAAAAACACCCAGGCTCTCAACTTGTGACCCCTGACCCTTGCGTCATATCTATTTATATCTGTGGGTGATGCCAGACCTAAGATTTTATATCAAGAGTGGTCAGGGACCCTTTGGGCAGGAACCAGACAAGGGAAAATTCCTGCCACCACTGGGGCAGCGTTCATGACAAGATGTCCACGTGACGTCATCATACCCCGGCTTCAAAGCCTTTGTAAGACAATTTGTACGGCTGCTCGAGAAGACCGCCAAAACATGCGGACTAGAGCGCTTTACCACCAGGTCTAACAGATCTTTTGGATTCCTCAAATCCTTCACTTCATTGGTAAATCGCTTCAGTGCCGCCATCGATGATTATGTTCAACCGCAGCCGAATGCGAAACACACGTATACACGACAGCCGTTGACTCGCACCTGCGGTATATCCGAAATAGGTCAAGATGGTGTCCTTGGATTGGTCCGTCGATGAAGATGAAGACAGAATTACTTGTGGTTTCTCCTGAGCAGAGTCTACAGTGTGTTCGTCTGTGACGTTAGAACATGACAGAAGTGGCCATGTTTGACTAGATCGGCTACATAATGTTCCTAATCGAAAGAAGTAACCTTCCTCCGGGCTAGTAAATACTCTTACACGCCTTTTTAAAATCATCATTTTGTATCACAGTCTCTGTGTAGCGTGATTTGAAGGGTGTCGACATGACCACTTGTAAGATAAAAGAGAGGGCCCGTTCACGATTGGGTTTTATAAATTGTGTACACGTGGGACCTGAGAATTAAGTCCTGATATTTTGTATCTGTGTTGACTGCCACTCATTCAAAAAGAAGATATTTTGGGGGTGAGGACTCCAGAAGAGAATTTCTTGGAAGAAATGGTGGTGGTCATGATCAGGAATATAATGTGCGACGGAAGGCCAAGATCCTTTTTCCGATTTTCATTCTGTGCGACATAATAAAGTGTTCTTCCAAATACTAATTTCTCAAAAAAGTATAATTGGCCATTTATCATTCGCTTGAGTGGGTCTTTTTCCCCCAAGAATGAGCAATCAAATAAATTGCGCGTGGACCGCTGTCTATGTCTGTAGCATGCGCATCGTGTGGAGTTGAGAGGGGTCGTCGAAAGGGTCGCAACACCCCTCCCCCTTTCATAGTGGCACTTGGTGCTTATCTAGACGGAATATAGCTGTTTGTTGTTTGTCTGCTTTTTTAAAACCAAGAATTTGATTTTTGAAGATGGAATATGATTGACTGAGAGCGTATGATAGGCTGCCTCCTTGGCGTGCATTGATCTCTTGTTGATTTTTTATATTGAAAACATTGACATATTCTACAGTGCATTCTATAAACTTCGTGTAAACAGAAAATATGTTCTCTTGAACGGCAACCAGTGCGGAGTTTCAAATTCGTTTTTCCACAATACAGTTAGTTCTTTTGTTACATTCCGCTTACTGCACTTTTCCCCGAGAACATTCACTCAAAAGTATAAAGCATAGAAAGTGGAATGATATTTTCTCTTTTCAAAAACCATAGCAACTGATCCTGGAAGTCGTCATCACCTTTTTTCTCGTTTTATTTTTCTGTTAAGTCTCAGCTTCCCATCCGCACGGCCCATCACTGCAACCTGAGTGCATAATATCGTGCAACAGAAGAGGAAAGCTGATCTCGCCTCAGGAATCCAGGTGCACTATCTCTACTTCTGGTGGCAATTAATCACCACAAATCATTAGGGCCGAAGTTGATTAGCGCCATACCAGGCCCAAGCCCTGGTCTTGGTGTCACACCGCACCGATGACACAACCCGCGCGGGAGCAGCAGAATGCTCAGCCCGGGGAGAGAGAGAGAGAGAGACGCCATACGGGCTCGCATACCGGAGCTGGCGCTCCAATCGCTGGGAAATATTTGCTAATTTCTCGGCATAGCTGTTGATCAAGCCCACCATAAATAATCCCCGCGAGACAACGGAACACTCACCCTTAACAGGCTGGTGGAAGTATCGCAGCAATTTCTTTTGGTGATGCTATCAATTTCGACAATGGGTACTTCTAGAGGCGGCAATGCGCAGCTTTGTTTCTTGTCAGCCAATATTTATACACGAAGGCTAAATGCTGACAGCTCGATCTACGATTATATTTGCAACAGATAATGGAGGATATGTGTGACATAGTCAAAGGCATGGTACGCAAACTCACACATTATGTGTTCCGAAGTCCCCACACCATGATCAAAACAATTCCAGCAGCAGCAAAATACTAGGTATCCTGAAGACACACCATCAAAGGACTTTGTTGGAATCGACGTCCATGTAAAAAACGGGCTGGTATAACAATTCCTTCACTGTTGTATGCAATACAAAAAATAACCTCAGCTTTTCCTCTCATCAAAAAATGATCTGGCCTTGGTCGAGAAACTGACTGAAATCCTGGGTCAATTCTCTTCAAATGATGTTGAAATTGTATCTGACTCACACACTTCGAACGGTAACTTCACAACTGTTGTCCGTCAAAGCACAGAGCTAGGTCCTAGCTCTTTTGTCGTTGTAACACTGTCGAACATTTTAAAGCATTTCTTTAACAGCGTCGTCCAAGGCTTGAACTGGACCTCTCTTAAGACTCTTATCAACTGAGAAATCCTCATGATGTAACACAAAGAAAAAAGTTCCATGGTTTCCCAACCATGTGGTTGGCTCCATATTTGTACTTTGTATAATTCCAAATTTCCGGAAAACCGCACTCCTCGAAATTTAGCAGGTGTACATCTTGGAAAGTGGTTCAACCCAGGGTCCATTTTCATAGAACTACTACGCACAGAAAAAAATGGAAAAGGTTACCAGCCAAGATGTCAAGCAATGTGTCTGTTGCAACTGGTTATCAGCAGATTTTTGCTAAGCACATAAGTGAGCTTAGTACAGTTTCCTGATTAGCAACTCTAGAAATGATTGGGTCCACACGTGAGGTGTCACTGAGCTTCACACAGCCTCTCCGCGATCAAAGCATGTGATTATGATCATGAAGTGAAGAGTCAACCAGAAATCCTTGATTGCGACGCCTGGACGATGACATGAAAAAAACAACAACAAATATTCCCCAACACAGGAACTGGAAATGCACGCGAGTCTGGGCCGGTGGGGGGGGGCACGATACAAGTTCCCAGTGTGGGTGCTCGTCAGTTCAGGGCCAAGATAAGACCCAGAGAACGAGATGAAAATACCGAACGATTCGTCATCCAGCCCCGACGAACATTCACCCGTTGATATCAAAACAATCCCTTGCAACCTTCCCCCCTTTCCCTCCGCTCGGCCCCATTTTTTTTGCTCTCTCTCTACCCATCCGTCACATTTCCACTGCGACACATCTCGGGCACCGTAGCCCCCCAAACGACGGTTTCAAACAGTCGATTTCGCGTCCGGCATTTTGTGCGGTCCCGATATTTCACCGAGAAAAATGACCAAGCCTGACCCCCAAAGTCGGCCCGTGTTATTGCGCCATCTTTCAGGGAGGCGATTAGCAGCGAACTTGTCAGCTCATTCTTGCACCCTTACCACCCATCATTACTCGCTCCACCTCCAAGCAGAACAGGAATAAAAATTCCTCAAAGTGTAACGTCTATTTTGATGGACTGGTGTACCTCTAGCTCGCTTTTACGTATGACAGACCAGCTCTACCAGTTATTAGACGAGCTGGTTTGCAAGTCTAAAGCCATAGATCGCACGAAACATAAAAGTAAGCAACGTTCAGCAGTAGGCCACAGTTCATCAAGTGCGAACCTGACGTCATGAAAGCCTGCTTAATCCTTCGAAAAAACTCCAATGTGCGATAAAGAAATAAAACCTGGGTCAAGTCTGTAAGTCTGCGTTTGGTTCTGTAGCTAGAAAATGGATCTCTTGAAAGGTGGCAGAGATACTAATTGTCCAAGCAACTCAAACCCCATATTTTTTGGTATGACCGTATAAGTTGCAGATAAGTAAGGACGCTGTTTCGCAGGGCACACTCCTTTACCAACATCTTTTCTGAATCAGTAGCGCGCTAAGTACATGCACTCCCAGCGCCAAGGACAAAACGGGATCCGCCTCAGGCGAGCAAGGAACCTCTTCAGGAAGCTTAGAAAATCTTCAACGAGAGGTCTGGGAAATTAGGGAGGGCCGACCAGAAACTGGTTGAGGGAGGCTCTTGCCGGAAGATGCCGAGAGAGCGTCTGTTATCGCTCACTGGTGTGATTCGAGTATCCTCTGATCAGACCGCAAAAAAATGGGAAGTATCGGACAAGATTTCGGCCGGACAGAAACCCGGATATTGGATGTGATGCCTCTATGGATAAAAATACAATTTTGTTTGGGGGAAGTATAAGGCAATAGTACATGATTTTTTTTCTGCACTGCTCACTCTGAATCATCTTGGTAATTGCTGACAGCTTTATCAGGGGTTACGGCGGTAATTTCATGGTCAATATCACCGTCATCGTGACATCCTCGTGGCCCTTGTCACCTTGTCATTATAACAGCAGAAAGCACAAGAACAACTTAGTTCGAAGCAGGACCTCACCCCCCCCAAAAAAAAACAAAACAACAACAACAACATCGACATCACTGGCACCATGGAAATTATCACTACAAGTACCATCCTCGCCACACACCCCTTCCCTTCCCTTTGAGCTTCATCTTGCTCCTCATTACCACTTCAAAATGTGCAGAATCTCTTCCTGAAAGAAAGACAAACTGTTTGAGAAGAGACTAAGCCATTCTGAAACATTTACTCACCTGCCCGCCTTGGTCACGATCATCTCAGTGCCCAGCGAGTGGAACTCGTCCCACAGGGCCTTCATCTCCAGCCGCACCTCCACCGTGACTACCTTGGCACTCAGGGGCTTCTCGTCCAGGCGCCGCCGTTTGACCCCTTGGCCGTCCTCGGCGTCCTCCGCGCCCTCTCCCCCGTCGCTGCTCCGGACCCGCTCCCTGTCTCCGTTCATGGAGGAGGTGTCGGAGGCCGAGCCGGACAGCTTGGTCATCTGGTCCATGCTGCTCTCCTTGCAGTGGTCGCTGATGATCTGTGGGCTGGAGGAGCGAGCGTTGGTGCAAGCGTCGTCGTACCCTTCCTGGTTCTTACCGGGAACTGCTGTCAGGAGTGACAAACACGAAAATGAGAAATAAATTGGATTTGGGCATGCGTGCAGCAAAACAACCACTCTGAGTTTCACCTGTTGTCCTGCGAGGCTACACACACTCACAAAACCAGGCCCGCTGGAACTGCAAATAACACATGGTGGTAATTTAAAATATCTGTGCGATGAGTTTGTCCCCGGTGAAATGTTTCTGCAACTGAACAGGATTCGATTTGACATCCTCTAGAGCAGTGAAGTACTTTGTTTCAACATAAAAACATTTGTCCGAGCTCTTTCGGGCAAGTGTGAGGCGCTGTTGCTGAGATGTCAGTTTATACGTGTTTGGGTTCCAACTTGTGAACCTGAAATTTGCTCATTCAAAACATTTTTGAGAAAGGGTTGCTCTTTGGATATCATCCATGTCTTCAGACGACAACAAATTGCCAAAGGAAAGGAAATATAGAACAGCAAAATATCACAAATTTCCGCTGTTTTTTGTGCATAAAATCAATCAATGCAACGTTGAGGGTTTCTCCCCATAGCCTGCAATGCCGCACATTTGCCACCAACGACTCACCCATGTCAATTTACGTCTGACACTGATCTCGTCAGGTCTAGGGCCTACACATGCCCGAACAGTTGCCGTTTAATCTAATTATGCACAGATACGAATCCAGCCTATTCCAATACTTGCGAGCTAACTCGCGCGACTGACGCTGTAATGGATACCCCCATTTAAAACATGCACATCCGTCCGGTAGCATCATACATTATGGTGTCAGCAGCACAACAGAAAAGCAAGGATTTAGGTCCTACAGTTTACAGTTAGCATGTCAAGAAACGGGACACTCGATGCAGAGAAAAAAAATCTCTAAGGGATCTTGAATCATCCTGACCTTTATGTCAAGTAAACAGTCTGCTAATGACATTTCCATCAACTCAGGATATTGCCGATTGTGTTTAAAGGGAGGGAAATTAAAGATGCAGTAGGCCCTTCTCGGCGAACGAGGCCTTGACGTTGAAGCTGACTATAACTTGAGACTGCCTGGACTAATGTTGTTTCAGGTCAGTAGACAACTATTTGTCCATGTGCGAATATTCATGTAAGCTGTATCTCTGAGATGGGTGCACGCACATGAGAAGTACCGGCGTACTGCCGATCGTCATCACGTGATTTGTTCAACCACTCACAGCGAGGTAAACTGGCGCGTGAATATTTACGGATACGAAATCGTTTGGTTTAGACGGCAGAGTTTCAATGTCAATGTTACAAACTACGGAACGACCGACAATAATGAAAACGGACAGGGGAATATCGTGATCGGTTCTGGCTAGCAAGCCCTCGCTCAATCACGGGACCCAGCCAAGCTCTCATCGCCGCGCGCCACTGATGGCTGTATATTTTTGTTTCGCAGGGCCGGTCAGGGGAAGGTGGAGGAATTATTACACGGATACATCGCCGGGATGACAGACGGGACAAGCGGGAGGAGATTTATCTCCCTGTCCCGCAATTATCCAACAAATTAGAAGTTCACATAAATAAGATGACAATGCGAGATGTGGAGCGGGCTAAATGTAAGCGGGAGGCAGGGCAGAACAAGACATTGAAGTGGAAACAGAAAGGGGATGAAATCATACATTTCGATAATGACTGGGGATTATCTTCCTCTATGGAAGAGGCCAAATGCTTTCCGATAAGTCAAAATAGGTTTCAAGTCCATGTGCATTTTTCCCCTACGTGCACTGTAGAGAAGGTCACTCGTCCAGCGTTTTCTTAATATTCAATACTTTCCGTTCTTTGTACTTTTCGGTATGGATACATGAACATTTCTGTTCCAACTTTAGGGCGACTTCCTGAGCGGTGTTTTTCAGTGCAGCAACTACGCCAAAAAGTATACTGAAACAGCACTTTTTTTCCGTACGCCAGGAAACCTACAAAATGACTATTTTGTATTATTTCACATTTAATTATGTCATAATTAAAAGAGCCGCTTGCTTCCCTCTCCTTGTAATTCGCACGGCCAGAGGGAATTTTGCTGTTCCAAATTATTAAAAACTGGGCACGTGTACAGAAAAACCCTTGCTTTGCTCATCTGCGAAATTTCGACTCGGTAAGGACGACATGTTTTGCAAATGATTTCTCCATTATTTCACACTGCTGCTCGTGAAAAGGGCGTTTTTCCCCCTGCGATACGTAGGACACAATTTTTCTGCACTCCTCTAAAAAATGGACGTGAAGTACATCATTACTTTTCAGGGTTTACTGTCGAGAGGCGGACAGGGCATCATTCTTCAAACTGGTGAGGAAAAGGAATGCGCGGCGGTGGTGTCAGAAACGGAATGAATTTCTGCCCCTCGGCTCCGACAGGGTAAAACATCCAGTCAACTTTGCTGACCTCGCAACCTTTGAAGGCAACCTTTGAAGAAACATGCGGACGGGACAACTTTCAACCGCAGACCACCACCTCGCTAAAAATGCCTGCATTGACCTTTGAACTCGTAAGGTCGCGCAGTCCAGTCCGACCCCGTCTTGTGAGCATGCAATGTGTGGAAGTTGTTTAGTTTTCACGCTTACAAAACTCAGGGGTCAATCGAGTTTCGGCAAGGCAGAGCTACCCTCCGAAGTCATTTTAGGTATAGCACATTATCATCTTTGACTAAGTTGGATTGGAAGATTCGCCACTTCCCCTGAATACAAAAACAGTAAAATTGTGAAGTTGAGAACAGAGCAAATGTGGTTTATCAACAACCGAAAACACCAAGTTCCACCCAAAATCTCCGAAATTGATGAATCCTATTAACCGAAATCAAACAGCTTTTTAAAAAAACTTTTGGTCAGAGAACTATATCTGGCTGAAAGTTTCAAAGTTGATGAACAACTACGTGCAGAAGGGAGTGTTCCCAACCAAAACCTGTCCTTTTTATGTCACCGAGCGTGAAAGAACACAGTTACATCAGTTACTTTAATGAATTAAAAATTGTTATTCAGACATTTAAGTGTATCTATCAACTCGAACCAGCTAATGTTTGATGGCGTATGCTTGGGTAATTTCTAAGTTTTCTTGGAAATAAGAACGTTTGATATTTAAGAAGTCTCTTGCTCTATAATGACATCACGCTCCAATCCGGAGAACAGATGTGCCTCAAAGACCATGGAGAAAATTGAGAACTTCGCCAACTTGACGCGGCAGTTCGGCATCTTCTCGCCCCGCCCATGTTCAACTTGCAAATCGCCGTGAACTTCAACAACATTCTAAAAATAACATTATCACAAGGGCACAGCCAGCCCGATCGCAGACGATACGCCATGTACAGTCAGCCTCCACAAACCGACACGTTCACGCCAATGGGCAGACACAGCGATCAAACTGACGTGGCCTACGGTGTCTGCGTGTGCTTTCGGCATCACTGTGCCTGCCATGCACCATGGCCCCGTGGGAAACTTCCAGTTAGATTTCCTCCCTCACCTCAAGAGAAAAAGGGGGAGAGAATAGAGAGGGAAAAAATGAGCACATCCCTTCCCCGATAACCTGTATTTGTCCCCTGTAATTTCCTAAAGCTCCCCTGGTAAACATTTCTTTCACGACTTCCCCAAGTTGTCGGCCAATTCAGCGATCCACAAAGCCTGTGCGACGGTACTGTACAGTCGGTCGGGAGTCGAGTTGGGGTGGGGGGGGAGAGGAGGGGGAAGACTGGGATTTCTCACGTGCTTATGTAGCGTGTCGGGGGCGCCACACACCATGGGGATGAGGTGATAAGATGCCCCAACCCCGGATCTCGGTACTCAACATCGGTGGAGAAATCACTATGGACAGCCGGGCAGTTTATCCAGGCCGAGCAAGGAGTGTGTGTGTGGGGGGGGGGGACGAACCGGCATGCACGCTCTCCGTATCACCAGGGTCCAGAAAGTTGGCTGGCGATTAGAGGTCCTTCCAAGTTTTCTCATCATCTGTGATTGCAGGAACAACACTCAAACGCGGTGCCTTTCCGGCCTGCAGGCGCGGGGACGAGGCGCGGGCGCGACTTCAGTCACACCGTGCCGTTCCCACTTCATTTCCTGATCGCTTTCAGTGACTAAGCTTTCGGCACCGTTTGACAACACTATGAAGGCCAACGAGTCAGAAGCTTTAAAAAGTGATACTGCTGGAACGCTCATTATCTGATGTTCACCACATTAATCACTGATCTGAACTAGTGACAGGTTAATTCGACGACCTAAAAAATTCAATGTTCTAAAGGCAAGAGTGGAGTTTTCCTTGTCCACAAACGAAAAGCAAAGCATGCTCCAATTCGAACTGCATTAACCGTGTAGCACGTTTCCCGAGAACTATCCAGACTATCACAGTTTCAGTCTTTCCTTCACTCTTCACACTGTAAAAACAACGCCTAAGAGTTAAAGCACTTTTTGTACTCGCTTCTTACAAACACTTTCACCCACGACATGTTTATTGAAATGTGTTTAGGAATGGGTTTAAACGCTAAATGCTCTCCCACTGTACACGTTCAGTTTTTAAAAAAAATCTGCTTAGCAGTTAAAACATTCCTAAACGCACGTCGTGGGTTAAACGTGTTGGGAGAGTGGATATGCAAAGTACGTAAGTGTTGAGAAATGTGTTTTAAACGCCAAGTGCCTTTTTTGTGACGGTAAAGTCGTGATTGCATCAGTGCGGTGAAATCCTAACGAAACTCACGCGCATAGTTTCGGTAGGCCTATCTTTTATGTATCTCAACAACGTCAATATGCGTTCCAAAAATCGCATTTTTTTTTCAGATCACACCCAAATTCTTGCTCACACTCTTTGTGCGTGAAGATAGTGTCCAACAGAGATGTATCAGCGGCGATGAGCGGTATTTTATTAGACAACTAATTTGTGCCCTCGTCGACTCGAGGGTTGGAAACCTGTCCGATGATTTGAGCTCGTTGATATGTCACTCCCTTTCCTGGTCACAAGAGCCCAGTTTCCGGAAGTCACGAAAGCCATAGCTTTCTATTGTTGCTACGCTTGTACATGCACCACACAAGAGGGGTACAGGGAGGCAATACGCGAGGGAAAAAAACAGGGTTGTCAGTCCAAGCGTCTGCTAAGCGAAAACATGGTTGGCGCATCACTCATGAGGGGTGAGTCACGCTGCGTATATTGGCCACTTGTACAGAGGGAATAAGCCGGGAGCCTGTCCATTTATCACTTGGGCACAAAGCAGAAAAAAAAAAGAATCAAGGAAATCGGGCTACCAAGGATCTAACGCCCCCTCCCGGCTTGCTAACCTCAAGCCTTCACTCTAACCAGGTCACCCTTGATAAAGCGACATAACAAACGCTGCTGTAGTTAGGCCTTAAGAACAAGGAATGGCGAGACTGATAGGCTTGGTTTAAACGACGTACAGGTGCGAATTGGCTAATATCAAAGTAAAATTCCCTTCCTGGCAAAATCAAGCTGGCTACCTCTTTCAGTTTATCTTCATGCTTTTTGTGAATAATCCTGCATAAACCACGGATGTTAAATTTCGACCGGAACAGGGGAAAGAAGACCACGGTTATGTTAGACTTTGACAAGTTCATACTTCGCAAAGGCGTCATTCCGATCAGCTCCTTCATTTCGTCCTTTTTTTTTCTGGAGATCTATAACTTGGGTGGGGGGGATTAGTGGTTTTTTAAAGTCCCACTTTGACATTTGAAAGTGAAAATTAGTATCGATGCTCTGCAGACGAGACTTCTACGCTGACTGATGGCGGCGGCGGACGGCAACGTCGGCCCTTGCTCGCGGTCTCATCGCCCCTAGTGTTTACCTAACCCCGGGATTTACATTTCTCTTGAATGTAATTTGGTGTACCGTTACTAAACAAACACGTGAGACGCCCTCGCTCACATTCATCTCGTTGTAATGTTGCTTTAACTGTTCCCAAAGCCCTAACGCAACATAATGCAAGGGGGCTTTATCGGGTACCGACTACGATCTCGAGTTCATCCCCTCGTTACTCCGTAGACTGGTACATGTATAAATTTGGGTACGGGTGCAGTATCCGGGGTACCAGACAAGCTCTCAGAAATTATCTTTTTTTATGTATCACAGTCGCGACTTCATAAAGCTACTCAATCTATTATTTCCTTCAACGAGGCAACGACACCAAGAAAATGGAAATATTTTCGCACAGTTGACATTAAAGTGAAACCGAAAGGGTTTTTGGTTTATCCAACAAACCCTAAAAGGGTATCCAACGCGCCAAAGGACGTCTGTTTCTTGTAGAATGTTGAGAATTACTGACCTCAAGTTCCTACACCCATGTGACAGAAATACTGCGAGAAATCTTAATTCAAATTTCCAGGCATTCGTGACAGTTATAGCACAAACAATTTCCTCCCCAGATGTAGATGCTTTTGTGACAAATCCATATTATAAGACAGTGATGCCTTGGGTTAGTTTTCGATGTGGACACAACTATTTTACTCGCCACAACGAGAAGCTCACTGAATGGCACTCTTTTCTTACGTGAATTCAATTTCAACATTAGATTTTCAAATCAGTTTTTAATCCGCCATCTTTTCAGTTGGGTTTGGACTACCGGTATTCGATCAATTGAAAGTGTTAGTCATTCCTCCCCAAGAAAAGTAGGCAATGGAAACAAATGGAAAGATGTCTGACGGTTCAAACGCTGCGATCACACGCACTGGATGCTTCACTGAGAATGCTATTTTGAATGCCACAACAACATTAGTGTGTTCATGGAATGAATGTTTACTTTTATGAAGAAAATAGTTAGGGACTTCCATAAACAGTATGGGGGTTGAATTATTTTTTCCAAAAGAAATTTTGGTTTATGTTTGTTACAGAGGTCTGAGATGACAGACAGGGCGGCAAGTTAGTCTGACGAACTCTGTATAAATTGGCTTTCGTATCAGATTAAAAACGCCGCTGCCCTCTTTCGTTTTAGTCCGTTTTGCTTTCGTCCAGAGCAGCTTGTGGGGCAACACCGTAGGTGCTGGAATTATCTACTTAATTTGGCCTCAGGACCCTGCAACTGTTATTGATACAAACACAAGCCTTAATTGGCGCTTACATTCATCAGAAACCAACGAAGACAGGTTCCATGTACTTAGATTATTAAGAGCAACCTTTGACCGTTGCTTGTTTGAGCTCATATAGTAGTAGCGAGTTATAGTGTAACGTTAGTAACATCAGCAACACCACGGACTCGAATTCGGCTTTCATTTGACAGTGCATAGCGGCCCGCCTGGATATTCGTGGGATTGCCAAACAAAATGGCCTCCCGCTGTCTTCGAATGATTCAACCACTCGATTGAAACCTGAAAACAATAAGCACTGATTTGACAATGTAATTGATAGTCTGGGTAACTGACGTCTCCAACGTAACGTGTAACAACGGAACGGAGAAGTGGATTTAAAAAATGTCTGTCTATTCGCAGGTAATGTTGACACGCAGGGGGCGCGGAATTAATTTTCGAATTTTAAAACTGACAAAATTTAGGTTTCACTAGTAGAAAAATACAGAATGCTTTTTGGGGGGATTGTTGTAAAGAAATTATATCGTTAAAAACTGAGGTCATTTTGATGGTATAACTTCGCAGGCAATGACAAGAGTTTTAATTTGTTTTCTCGGCACACCGATTTTATGCTTAAAAATGCAACCCAAACATTCACTTCGTCATTCGGTTGAAAAAAAAAACACATTAAGCCTGTGTCAAAACAGTCACAGAGGGTTCAGTTTCTAAAGAACTCCTGTTTTCATCTCTTGTGGATTTAATCATTTTAAGTCTAAACGTGCCAACAGAATTAATCGTCTGGAAGAACACATATGAAAATAACCATTTCTTGATACTTTTGGCTTCAACAATTCATACCGAGGCAAGCTGCAAAATACAGAAGTCCTAGTAATTTTAAAAATAGCATACTATGCTTACGTACGACCAAAAAGCTGATGGTTTAATTTATTTTAATGGATGGTTTTCCATGCCGTACAAACCTTCCATTCGTGTGTAGGTCAGAGGTGTATCTCAACCCCCACTCCCCAGCCGTGTGTTCCAGCGCGTCCACGAGTGACGTGTCGCCCGTGCTCTGCAGCGAGACGCCCGTGCAGCTGGCCCCGTTCACGGCTGCTAGAGCCTCCTCGGCCTCGCCGCGCTCCTCGGGAGAGATCAGTGAAGCAATGCTGAATCGGTTTGCTCTTGGAGACAGTGGGTTTTGATCCGTTTGATTCAAATCCATAGCCAAAAGGACCAACTTTTAGGGCTCCTGTTTCTTTCGCCGTCCCCTCGGTGTCTGCTGCAGGTTCTGTTTCGCTTGGAGCTTGGTTTCGTTTCCAAAACTTTGATCGAAGTTTAGGGATAATCTGTATTCTTTAAAATCAAGCAAATGTCACGGAAAATCCCGAAATCAACGCGAAACAGCAGATGTTCCCGATAATACCAGACCTGTTTCTCCCCTCCTTGTCACTGGCGAAATCCGTAATGCTTTTCATGAGAGATTTGCAGAGCCGTGTCGATCGCTGTGTAAATTTGCACCAGGGCGCTGGAGACAACGAGGGGTACCGGGACGCAGGCCGCAGGACCCGGCAGGTCAACACAGACGATGCCGCTCGAAGCTCGGGCAACGGCCTTGCGATGCTGGCATGCACGTATTGCCCTCCACACGACAGCTCGGTGTCAAAACAGTGGTGCGTGAGCGCACAGTAGTTATGTTGTCTTGTTGGGTATCGCTATCTCTTGGGCGGCCCGGGCGGTTGATAAGGTTAGTCAGTGCCGACTGTAATGACAAGCTGCATGGGGTTCTCCCTCACAAGACGGTCAGCGAAGACTGATCTAAGAACAACCAAAACAAACCAAAGTGTGTATGTGATGTGTGAGTAAAAAAAACCTCCCAGTCATGATATAGTATAGTATATCAGCCATTAAGAAAGGGGGCAGGCCCTCGAGCAGCGGTCATTAGCGGTAGGGGCTGGCTGGAGGGGCGCCATTGGCGTGAAAAACGGTAGGACTAGAGAGACTGACAGCTTCCCGCTCAAACCACTCACATGTCGTCTGCTGCCAGCCTCCTAAATCATTGGTTGCCGACAACTTAGCCGTGTCAACATTATTAAAATTAATGCTAATGAGCACATGACGAGTTGGTGACATCTGCGCTGTAAAATTTCAATATTAGAATAATACTGCCCACATCGCCCTCATCAGGCGAGGCGGGAACAAGACCAGAAGGGCTGGCAGACCGTCACTGTTCTTCGTTTTTTACTTTCACGTGTCCCCTTCTGATTCGGTTTGCAAGGGGAAGGGATATGCAGTTGTCACGCAGGGGACGCGGTATGGACAAGATGACGTGTGCGATCACGTGGTCTGCCACTTCACACTGAATGTTAATCTCTCCGGGCAATTTCCTCCCTCCTTGCGCTCAGAAAAGAAATCACATTAATTCGTACTGAGGAAATAATACATTTAGTATCATTAATCTGTTGAATCAAGCCGTTAGCCTGATGCATAATATTCAGGCAATTGTTTGTGACTAAATACTCGACTGGCCACGCGACACGATGGATTCTGCACAGTAAATGGTTTACTTCCAGCGAAATTTAAAAGTATGGAATTATGAAAAGTAATTTTGCATTTTTGTTTGTGGGTGTAATTTCAAACACAAGATGACAAGCTAATTTAGTGGTATATTAGGCTATCGTTTAGAGATAAAGCTGTTTACGGAACAAATCAGCTTTTTCAAAATGGTTCCATTGGCTCAGTGGTCGGAACGACGAAGAGCACGACTCAGCAAATGCACACAGGTATCTTATTCTTATTTTTGTCAAAAACATGCAGTGTTTAAATTTGACAACTGTAACTTCAATATTCACACTCGCATATCTCTCTACATCTGAAGCCTCGTGTGACGTTCTCATAAATGTCCTATCCTTGTTATTCGAATTCGCGTATGCGGTCAGTTGTTCGACGTTCGACTCCGGCCTTGAGTAATTCCCTCCACTGTCTCCCCCTCAACATCCGCAGGGAAATTGCGATGTTCGAACGCTGGGCATCGTGGAGGGGAAAAACACTGTTTGGGCGCAAGTGTAATGATGTAACGCCGGTCACCAGTTGATCCTCTCCCAACCGACTCTCCGTGTTGAAGCACACGGCACCCATCTCGCAATCACCGGGTGCCGAGTGATTGATTGCAAATCACGGCCGGCTTTTCCCCCCCGACAGGTTTGGAAAGTAATCAACCCTTTTACCGTATTTTGCCGCGATTTTTTTTCTTTCAGAGAGAGAAAGAGAGGCTTCAGAGGATCCCTGAATTTTCTTTTTCTTGATTGAATCTCGAGCGGCTGCTTCACCCGAGGGGACTGGTGGAAGGGTGGGGATTTGTTTGAGAGGAGTGTATGCAGAAGTTGACCGGGGTGCATGCTTCCCTTTGTAGAACACCAGTTGAGATTTAGCAGTTATGCTGAGAAACATTTGGATGGGATCATCTCTGGACCTTTTCATGTACCCCTGCGAGTTTTTTCGCTCAACCGTGGAAGATCAAGTGCGTTTCAGCATTCTGAAGTTTGGTTGGGACGGTTTAAAAAAGTTAGTGAAAGGTGAAATGCAAACATTTTGTTGAACAAATAAAAATGTGACAATCGGAGAGACTTCTAAGCTGAAGCCTTAATGAGTGCAAGCGCACCGACAGTGGAAACAGGCTCTTCAAACGCTTGTCCTGGCCTACAGTTTGGTAGACCAGGGGTAAACCTTGAATGCCAGTCTCGGTCAAGCCCCATAAATTCTGGAATGTAGCGCGACCCCTGTTCCTTTCGCTGCCGCCAGTGCACGTAATGTAGTCCAAACACCAGGCCAACTCGTCTGACCGCTTATTATGAGCTACTTTTGGCGTTCCAGCACCATGCGACTGCCAAAATGACTCCTCAGTCCCCCAAACATCACCAGCGAGGTAGGAACTGGGGGCCATTCTGAGGCTACAGAGTATGGAAAAGACAGAAAGGAGTACTCGAAAAAAAGAAGACTTCTGCAGGTGGGTGATTTTTGGTCCTCTTGTAATGGTTGTTTTCATACCGTACAGTGAAATCTTGGACATGTAAGGACTGGACCTTTCCTCAGCGCATACAAGGAGCAAAGACGTGCCTGGTTGAACAGTTTGCTTATTGTAGAGTATTAATGGAAGGCATTTCTCATCAAATTTTGGTCTGCCCCCGCGTGTACCCTCACCAAGGAGCACTCAGCAATATCCCCGTCTGGGTGTCAGGACAGCAGTAGTCTTTAACCCCCTCCCCCGACCCAAATGATAGTCCCCATACATAAATTAAAAACGTGTTTTCTCTTATATGTAGGCCAATTTCCCGGAAGAGGGAAATTTGCACTTTGTGGTTCCAAGTTCTGCGGTTTGGTGAACCAGATGACTTAGAATAACCAGACGGGGAATGAAATCCACCCGTACCGAAAAAAAGTGGGGAAGAAGCCCTCTGAAAAAGGTTGTTTCATCTTTGAGAAATCAAGCAGTAGGCCTATACAAGTCGTGTAGTAATACAGGATAATGTGTGGCGCTTATAATGTACAGGTATACAGTATCCAGTACATCGTACACGGGCAGGTGCACAGGTCTAAACTGGGAAGACAGCTGGTAGTCTGAAAAAAGGTCAATGTTTCCCAGTAAAATGGAAATGAACAGAGAAGAAGCAGAGGTGCATGTACTGTAACCTCTGTGTGAAACTAGGTTTAGGAAGTAAAATGGGATGACAGAATAAGGAAAATAAACGTAAACCCAAAATAAAGGAGAAAGACAGATGATGTCTGTCTGGAGGTTGCAAAGGTTGAAATCTGTAAGTTCATCCTTTGAGAAATTTTTGATCATGGGAAAGCAGTGACATAATAATGATACGCACTTTGCTGGAGGTCTGGCTCCGGGTTCACCTACACCATTCTCTCACAGTGTCTTGCTTGTCAGTGGAGGCGTGGGTCCTGTAGACACGCAGATCAACATCCCAAGCCTTTGGTGAAGTGTGATGAACAGGAAACAGGTTGTTTTTCCGATGGCGGCGGTTTCTCTACACGCTCAAGTCCACGTCCGTCGATGACCGGGGCGTGTTTTCTCTTGATCAGGCTGCTTCAATCGTTACCCCGTACCGACTGTTGTTCGGCCTGGCTGCCCCGCCGCTTTGGATTTTTTTGGGGGGTTGTTCAGGCTTGCTTGGGGAGCATGTCTCTCCATGTACGACCTATCCCCTCACCGTCCCCCTCTGCGCTGAGTGACAAATTCCCGCGCAGACGAGCAGAAAAAACCCTTACAACCCCCGGAGGTACATTTCAACAGCGACTCGCCTTGGCGAAGGTGCTAAATCCTCCTTCCGCTCGGCCGGTCCGAACCACGTGCGTATATATACATGTATAAAGAAAAAAAAAACCCGAGACTCCAAAGGAGTAGAGGAGACAAGGGCGAATGGTTTAAAATTGCCTCCGAGAGACGGGCGTCGGTGAAGGCTGTCTGTGGTTCTAGCAGCCCAGCCGGCCTGTGAGTCGTGTTCGAGTGTGCAGCTTTAGTGATGTTGCCATGCATGTGGCATTACTCCAACAGCGGCTGAGCCAGTTCGAGCACCCCCGCTGCGCACCAGGTACCTGCGCGTTTCCCCCCGTGGTTACCGGTCGAGGCTGCACCACTCCATAACCATCTCGTTTAGGGCAAGCGCCCGACGGCGGCGTCCGACAGCGACTCTCTCACCTTCTACGACGTCTCGTTCCCCCTGGGCCCACCACGCCACCCACCTCGGTCAGCACTATCCATTCCCGTCTCTTTTTTGCCGTCTGGCCGGGTGATTGTTTTCGGAGGTAAGTCTGTATAGGATTTCGCCCCGAAATCTTTCCTGCAGGGTTTGAACGAGCAAGGGCAAGTTCACCATCACATCACCCAGAGCATTGCTATTGTGTGGGGTCGAAGGTCATCAATGCATGGAAACAGACGCCATTTTGGTTGTCTCTGTGCATGTTATTTTGGGCTGTTTGTCAGCCCATTCCTTGAAAATTGGACGGAAATATGCACCTGCTATTATTAATTAGTGAGTTGGTTCATTAAACTCCCTTTATTTTCGCATGATTGCTTCAGAATTCGGGCATAAGTGCTCTTCTTCGTTGGCGTTCGTTGACGTCTGTTAAGACAACTATGAACATTCAAGCCAAACCGTAAGTTTCGTTAATGCACTTTCGGCCGGTGTTCCGGAGAAACCTTGTGCTTTCACATTTGACTAGATAAGCGTTGGACCTAAAGCGTAATTTTTCAACATCTTAACCTCAAATTAACAGCTTCAGGGTGATTGTCGAAACAAAGGTTATCAACCGGGAACCGATGACAAGTGCCAGACTGCGACGCTGGTTGAGACAAACGACCTTGAAATATGTTTATTTTCAGAAATATCGTTGTGAATGTGCGGGAGCACCGGTATTAGTCACTCTGTCACTGGGATAGAATTCCTGCATAATCTGTCGATATCGAATGTATTGCATTAGCCTGGATGTGCATTGACCGATTCGTTATTAGTTGGAGTAAATCAAGTGAAACGATTTAATTCGTAAAACCAGATGATAAATTCCTGGATTATTACCGTCAAAAGTGAATCGTCGTTACCACAAAACGTGTCCGGGCTTACAACTTCACCCAAACGCCACGCGGTGGAACGCAAAGTCTCACGACAGTGTTGAAAAGAACCTAATGTGACTTTCGCTCATTTAGAGGAATTCTATGGATCTTAAATCTTAGGATGGAAAAGAAACTTGACAAGAGACGATGAGCTATTTGAAACTATTCTTTCTAAAGGGTTCCCTTATTCTAGATTTATATAAATATCAGTTTTATTTTAAAGATTTCAATGACAGCAGTCGGTACAATTTTTTTAAAAATTCGTTACTTCTGACAAAATGCCTCGCCACGTACAGTGCAATATGTTGATAACATAACACTTGACATAAAATTCTTGTGACAAAAATATTGCCAAAAAAAGAGGGGAGAATTAAGATCTGACCGAAAATTGCAGACAGAGAAGTCTAACAAAAGCATGGGTGAAAAAAATCCAAAACTAATATAGTTTCATTTCATTTTGAATTTCGAAACATGATGTGAACTGGGTTTGGTCAGTTGGTGGCCATGGGCACATCTAATATCATTATGCATCTCCAAGACTAACAGTAATGACAACTCGAGAATCCGTGGTCATGTTCACCGTACAGTGCTGTTAAAGAGGCCTCTTGCAAGCGTTTTATGACTTGCAAGCGTACTATGAACCACATTGCAGTGCATGCAAACATATATTTTTTTCAATCTTCGGGCTAATTTGTTTAAATCCTATTTAATCTATTGATTACTAAAGAAATGACTCAATCACTCTCGAGCAAGTGATCACATTCACTCACTGGCGGTTTAAAAGTCTATAAAATGAGCCAGGGCCCTTTCGAATTCGTAAAAATCAACATGAACCTGCTGCACCCGATATTCACACAAAGGTGGGTGTCACAGTTTGGGCAACAGCGAGAGTGTACACAAACAGCCATGTAGGCCTTCTCTTGCAACACGTCCCAACATCGGTTTTCTCCATTGGCCTTGCTGTCACCCGCGCCGATACCAGACTATGATTAATTGTACTTAGCTGCGGGTACGATTACAAAGTGACACAGTGCGGCAGGGGTCAAACTGTACGACGGGAATGAGGGACAGGGTTGGAGGTCAGCTCTCAGACCCACTTCGAGACACAATGCCAACGTGTGGCTTTTGGCACTTGATGTCTCAGTTGCTGGCTTTTCTCCGCCATTTTTGTCTCTGTATAAAAGGAGAAGTAACTGATTGTTGTTGCCGACAGCTAAGGAAGAGATTGGGGCCGCAGTTTGAGAACATGAAAATTCCTGAAATCTCTCAAAAATATGTAATTTCGTTTAAATTGGGAATAGCCCACATTTACATGTTACAGTGTTGTACTGTTACCCCCAAATCCCTGTTCTTTGGGCACGAAGATATCAGTGGCTTTCTTCTCATATTTTTTTTGTCGTGAATGTTGTTAAACGAAAGTCGTCCACGTCTAGTTACCTCATCTGACAACGATTGCTCCCGTCATTAAGTAACAAAGTTTACATTTGTTCATGTCTTATTATTACTTGACTTCTTGAGACAAAACTTTGATGCAATATAGACTGACAAAGAAGGCTTTTTCTGAGAGAGACGTGTATAAGCTGACTGCTGAACATGAGATCTTGGAATCTGTCAGTAAAGAAATACATCGCTGCCCTTGCGTTAAAATTAATAAAATTAGTAGGCAAACCTGTTATTTATGCTTAGACCCATTTCACTTTAACACACACACGCACAAAAAGATAAGTGGTTGATGTAGTAGCTCCAAAAATATATACCGGTACCCACGCAGTGAACCACGTGAGTGGTCACATGACCATGACACCATCTAACAGTAACTTTGTTCAGACTTGGTTTGCCAAGTAATCACCAATGATTTAGAGCTGTGGATAATTTGCTGGTCGGAAGGTCTTTAACGTTAAGTCATGCATGGAGGGGTATCACACACATGTAGACGTTTGGTCCGATAAACATGAAACAAGAAACCCACAATAAGAGGTCCTATAAAGTATCATTTAAATTTAGAAATTCGAACTGTTCTGATCATAACTCGAATTTGGAAAAGTAAAGCAAGGACAGGGCCATAATCTTTGGACAGCTCGTCTAATGTTCATCACTAGAGGGCGTGACAGACATAAACACTGTCATCGTTGCATATGATTATAAACTGTATCACACTTTTCTCTATCAGTGAGTTTCCAATAAATGTGTGGGTTCCTCCAAAAAGTCCCCACTTCCAGAAAATAGTATTTCCAAAGAAGTACTTGTCCTAATGGAGGTCTATATTCTGAAGTGATTTTTATTATTTTTTTTTATTTTAATAAGTAAACCAGTCGCCATAAGGCCCTGCTTATGGGTAAGGAACTGTCGTTTGTATGTGAGCAAAGCATTCTGCACGGCAAATTTGCGTGCTTAACAAAGAATCTATTGAGACTTAAGCAGAGGCCGTATACACTGGACGGCATTGAAACTTGCAACCTCATTTTGTTAAGTAGTTTTTTTTGCTTACAGCTCCAAGGAATTGGACCGTGTGCCATGCCTTACGCCCTAAACATCGATATGGGCAGATCTTAGGAAGTTGTGTGTCGAGCCGATCACTTTGCAGTTGGGGTCCTAAATCGGTTGCACGCGCCGAGAAGCGCCAGACACGCCTGAAACGCCGCGAATTTCCGCGCCAATTGCCCGGTACCTCAACACCTCGGCCCGGGCCCGGCCGTCTAAAAACCGGCTCTCTTTCGGAGGCACTGGTGGTGGGCGTGGTTGATGAATGGCAAGGTGTACAGTGTACGATACGTACACATACAACCATGCTAGACCGGACAAGACTTTGATGTGACTTACACTTGTGCTATAGTGGAGTAACACCCAATGATGCTTTTTCAGGCAGTTAGTTTAGGGTCTAGGCCCTATCCTACACGGGTGGGTGATACAGATAACATCAGGCAAAACATCATTCCCCGAGAAACACACGCGTTTAATCCGGCTGTTCACCCACGCAGAAGCGCCGATGAGAAAGCACCAGTGGCGACAGTGTTTACTTTAACATCACAGATTTTAGTTGTGCAACCTATTTCTAGAATTTGGACAAAAAGCGTATCATATTGGCTTTACTGTAAACACCTAACACTGAGTGATTTCTCCCCCTCCTTTTGTCGAGCCAAAAAGAAGTAAGATCGGGAATGACCCCTCTAAAAGGTAAGAGATATATTTACATCTACGTGATCGGCGCTTGTCATTTTTGGCTGCGCACTCATCCGTCAATTACCCGCGGCATTTCTCCTTTCTTCCCCCTTCCACAGCACATTCAGACCCTCGCATCTCTAACGTGTGTGGTGCAAGTCCAGAGCCTTCAAGGGGCCGACCTAGGTCGCGGTCGGTCGGAAGCGCATGGACAATGTAACCAGGGGAATCATGATTGGCCGTGTCAGCTCAGCGCGGGAAGGACGGTTCGCCTTAATGAATTGCTCGTGGGCGCATTACGAAACGGTAATAACCGCTTAGCGATTTTAAGCCCGCACGGACCAAAAGCAAACTCGTATGTTAGAAAGGCAACAAATCCAGATAAATTCGGCAAATTCATTTTACAAGGGAACCGAAGCCTACTTCATTAGCTACTTGGACGGTTCAATATACCCCACTGCCCCCTTGAGACCAGTGGCATAACTAGTGTGAGATTTCCGAGAGCCCAGCCAGGGTAACGCACATACACTTTTCGAAGGGGACACCGAAAAGCAAATGAACTGTGGCTGGTGCCATACATAGCTTGTGTACATGTATGCATCTCGAAATTTAAAATGGGTGGGGGGGGGGGCATCCAGGGCATGGACTTCCGCTGGGGACAACCCCCCCCCGGCATCCTCACATTTCAGACCTGAGCAGCGGCGTATACTATCCGTCTTTTGGTGTCTGGGGATTCAAAAATACGGCTTAGGCTCATTCGCAATGATGCTGGGATGAAAAAATTAAATGGTGCTGTTGTCTTAGGGTTTGGTCGCTGATATTTGATAAATATCTACCGATAACTTTCTTTCCTACTTACTTACAAAGTATTTTGGTAAAAGAAAAGGTCCGTCGGCAAGTTGCCCACCCCCTTGCCCTGCAGGATTCGCCATTGGACCAAGGGAGAGTTAACCCACTGCCTGCTACTGCTGCCAAACTTTCAACCTCTGGATTTGTTAGCGCAGGCCTCAGATTCGCCCAGCCATGATGAACGTCA